TGCATAATTAGGTTAGTTATTTGAGATTATTCTTTTAATATAACCATTCATTGTTATAATATTTCATTTTAGAACTGTTTTCATTGGGTCCCACAGACTTGACTATACTGTCCTCCCATTGTTATTTGAGTCTATGAACTTCATTTTTTCCCTTACTTCTTCTTCATCTCATTAATTATTTAATTGTGTATTAGTAATCTCCATCTATTTGTGTAATTTCCATGATTTCTTTTGCTACTGATTTCTAGTTTCATTTTGTTATGATCTAATGGTATGCAGGGGATTATGTAAATTATTTTGTAGTTATTTAAGCATTCTTTATAGCCCAAGATACGGTCTTGTGGGAAAAAGTTACATGTGCTCCTGAAAAGAGCATGCATTCTGCTGCTGTTGGGTGAAACACTGTAGATATCTGTTAAGTCTGATGGATGGTGAAGTTTAATTCTGATATTTCCTTGTTGAACTGTCTATTTGTAAGTATGGAATTAAAGTTTCCCACTATGATTGTACTGATGTATATCTGTACTTCTGTGTCACATAGTTTTTGTTAAAATTGAGTGTGACAAAATTCAGTGCATATGTATTTATTATTGTTATGACTTCCTGTGGAACTGTTCATTTTAACAGTATGCAGTGACCTTCTTTGTCTCTTCTGATCAGTTTTTGCTTGAAGTCAGCTTTGTTTGAAAATAGAATAGTTAACTCCTGCTTTCTCTTGGGCTCTAGTTGCACGAAGAAGTGTCATTTTCCACCCTTTTTCTTTCAGGCTGTGTGTGTGTGGTTTGTGTGTGCATGTGTGTGTGTGGTGGTGGTGGTGGGGTGTTTTCTATGAGGTGTGCTTTTTTCAGGCTTCACATCTTGTGATTTACTTTCTGGACCCAATCTACCAGTCTGCGTCTTTTGATTAGAGAGTTACAACCATTAACATTGAGGTTATTATTTTATGATATTTACTGAGCCCTGTCATTGCATTATTTTTCAGGGCTGATTCCTTTATTTTTTCCTTTAGTTTAACAACTCTCCCAGTTTTATGTATATTTTCTTTATTTTAATTAGCAGGTATTTTATTTTTTATTTTTACTGGTACATGTTTGCACACAATGATCACATTTACTGTGGGAAGTTGGTACAGGTAGATAACATATCTAAGTTCTTCTTACATTCTCTTCTGCTCTTTTACTTTCTCCCTCCCTCCTTTTCTTGGTTCTCTTCCTCATCTGCAAAAGATCTATCTCTTTGTTTCCTATTATCTATCTTTTATTGTGCTGTTTAATTTACTTCATAATACTTTTGTTTTGGGTTCTTTGGTGTTGGATGCCTCCCTGAGTCTTTCTAGAATTCCCTTAATTATTTTCTGCAGTGCTGGTTTAGTGATCCCCAATTTCTTTAAAACTTCTTCGTCATGAAAAGTCTTTATTTCTCCATCCATTTGGAAGGATAATTTTGCAGGATATAGAAGTCTGGTTTGGCAATTGTTTTCTTTTAGGGCTTGTAAGGCTCTCCTGACATTTAACATTTGTGCTGAGAAAGCCCTTGTTATTCTGATAGTCCTGCTTTTATAGGTTACTATTTTCTAACAGCTTTTATATTCTTTCTTTTTTATTCTTATATTCTTTCTTTGTACTAAATGTCTGAAATTTTAATTATGATGTGTTATAAAAAGGTTCTTTTCTGGTTGTAGCTATTTGGGATCCTAGTGCTTCATCTATATAAATATTCAATTCTCTCCCTACATTTGAACATTTTTCTGAAATGATTTCAGTGAATAATTTTTATCCATTGTGCCATCTTTTAATTTTTTCTCTTCACCTATAACTTTGAAGCCTTTTTTTTTTTTTTGAGTCATCTAGCCCCTGTTGGCTCCAGCTTCCATAGTATCTTCTTGCTTTTAGGCTATCACTGAGTACATGCATTGTCTAATGAATCAACCTCGTTTTTAATTTTTGATACTCCTCACATTTTTTATACCTGCTCCAGAAAATTTCCATCAATTTTGTCTTATCTTGGATTTCTCTTTGGTTCCTTTTAATAATCTCTAAATATTTATTAAAATGTTATTCATATATTATTATCTTATTTAATTCAATCAGCTTACTCTTTGTGTATTCTTTAAGCCCTCTGAAAATTTTGTTAACTCCTTTATCTGCTTATTTAAATCTGCTATAAAGTCACTAAATAAATTATAAATTTGCTTATTTGTTTCTCCTTTGATCTTCTCATACATTTTAGCCATTTGCTTTTTTATTTATTTGCCTGTAACTTTTTCTGCATCAGTGCCTGTGAGGTCAGTTAAAGGTGTTCTGGGGGAATCTTGTTGACAATTGTTCTCACGGTTCTGTTGTTTTTGTGCTGAGGGTTGAAGTTCAGGTACAGTAGAAAACTCTCCATTATGCAGAGATCTCCTTAGCTAATGAATGACTGTGATGTGACCATGGTAAGTGTCATGGTTATGGGCTTTGTCTCCCAGTGGGAAGAGAGCTAGGATGGTGGGCCCTGGGCAGTGGGTGGCTGGGTGCAGACCATGGCTTCCTGGCCACCACTGCTCTACCAGGATTCTTCCTTTGCTTTCTCCCCTTGGGGATTTAAACACTCTCCCAAGATAGTGTATTTACTGCAGCTGGGCTACAAGTGGTGCCAGGAAGGAGAAGTGACCCTGTTTTATTCTCTTAACATATCTGATACTAGATATCATCTATTGGACTCTCCTTTCAGTTGTATTCCTGGGCCTAGATTTTTCACTTGCCTCCTTTCCCAAGTATCCATAGGTATCAAAAAATGCACTCTGTTATGGCTTGTGTCCAGATGTCCCCCCCAAAGCCTCATCCAGTCATAGGTGGAGCTTTTCACAAGTGGCTGGATCTAGTGTGTGATACTGGCATTGATTCATGGTTTGAATGCTACCTACTCTAAGGATGGGTAGCCTGGATAAGAATATAAGGGACAGAAGGGCTGTTGTAGGATGTCCTTTCTGTTGGTTGCTTTTTGCTTTTACTGCCTTCTCCTGCCATGCACTGTTTCTCCTCTGTGATGCCCCTCTGCCATGCCACCCTGCCTATATAATTGGAGCCAGCAAATTATGGACTGAAACCTCTACAAACTGTGAGCTGAAATAAACCTTTCCTCCTTTAACTTTCAGGGTCAGGTATTTTGTCTCAGCAATGAGAAAAGATAACCAAGACAGCTCCTGAGTGTCTCATAAGTACTGCTAGCTCTAATGGAGTGGATCTTTTGTAAAATACACATTTAGATATAGTTAGCTCTACTGTGATGCTTCTTTTAAAAACTCAAATTTGTTCCAAAGTGATGGATATATTAAAGAATAATTGGAGTACAATGTGAATTTTTTCACTTGTATATATGCCATTTCTTTCACTAGAAACACTTAGGTGGATTCAAAAGAAATGCACCCAGCTATATGGAGCTATGTAGAAATATACCAAACATATGGATGCACCTCTCAAATATGTACTCGTTATATGTTTGGGATACATGGTTTACATTGAGCTTGGGGGTTTGATAAATATACACATTGTACCTCGACCACTTTCACTCTCCCTGCCCCGTCTCCCCTCTCAACCTTCCTGTCTTTACAGAATCCACCTCCTTCTTAACATGACTCTTTATTTTATTCATTAAGTTACTTATATTTTGGGTCTCTCATATTAGAAAGACCAGTTATCTTTGTTCACTGCCTGAGGGACACTCATCTACATTAATATTATAACTTTCTTTATTTCAAGATGACCTTGCTTCTATGCTTTCTCAACAGCTAACAAGTTTCAAACTTTCTTATGATCACAAGGAAACTGCAGTTCTGTTTCAAGGTAAAGTGCCATATTTACTGTAATTCTCATGTAGCTTTTTAATGGTATAACTTATTTTAAAGTGCAGTGTTCATATTATAGCAAAAATAGCCTTATTAACAAGAGTGAAATGAGCTGTAAAATTATTGCATGCTATCATATGCTCTCAATTTTTATACTGTAAAATCTGTTAAAAGCTGTACCTTGGGAACTTGGAAAACATGATAGAGCTTTTCTCATAGAAAATTAGCTGTGTACTTGATAAAATTATTGTCATTACTTGCTACTCTTTCTGTGATATATCTGTACAATCTATTCTTATAAAAATGTGAAAATGATGTGAAATAGTAAAGTAGTGCTCTCTCCAAATATATTTTAGTAGTTTGTTCAATCTTCTTGCAGTAGCATCCACTTACATTTTACCAATGTAAAATTCTGAGTAAAACTCTAAATGTCTCAAAATATAAATAAGAATATAATCAACATTGTGACTACAGTTAATAAGGATCTGTTGTATATTTGACAAATGCTAAAAGAGTGGTTAAGTGTTCTCAGGACAAAAGGTAACTATGTGAGATAACAGTTATGTTAACTAGCCACATTTAGGCATTCTACCAGGTAGACTTACTTCAAGAGATCGTGTCAGACGTTATAAATATATTTTCTGTCAATTGAATGTGATAAAATTATAAAAAGTAAACACATCTGGATTTTAAAATATTAAAGGAAATTTAAAAGCTGGATTTTAAAATATTTACAGTTCATGTGCTAAGCTAAATACTGGGATATTTTGCTTTAATCTTTAAGCCACCATTCCTGTTTTTTGACAATTTAAAAACAAATCATTATTTCTATCAGTTACAACTATCAAGTAAGAACTTAAAAGCAGGCTTAAATAATTTTCTACTTAATGTTTAAAAAGGATTGAGGAATCACTTCTGAAATAGTGTAATAAGAGCTTCAATCTCTTCTGATATAGAATCAAGAATATTAGCAAATTCAAAATCAATTTTGTAGAACTCTGGAAGTTAAAGGTTTACTACAATTTCCTTATTCAAGGAAAACAGCTGAATTTCAGTAAGAACAGTCACAATTTCCCTATTTTAACTTACCCTACTCCCGTCTTTCTTGCCCAGTTCCTTAGAAACCTTGCAAACCAGTAGTCTGCTAGAGGGTGCAGAGAAAGCTCAGACTCACCACAAACCCTGCTACCATCGTACCGGCAGTGTACATCTGTCTGGCAGTTTGCTGACAAGCTCCATCCTCAAGGCTCATCTTCACCTGACTTGATCAGAACATCTTCTGTGCAAGTAGACCTGCATCAATGTATTTGTAAAACATAAGTGGTAATTGTTTAGTATCATAGGTGCTCATAGTATTTTTACCTGTTGAAACTAGCATAAGGCTTTCTAAAACTCAGGAAAAAAGTCACAGAATATAATGCATTTGAGGCTCTGGGAAGCTTTAACACATCCCCATGCATCTGGCCACACGCTCATGCAGGGCTATCCGCACATCTGCCTGGCTCTGCGGCCCTATGAAGTGGACTATTGTAAGCTGCCTGTCATGCACTGAATGAGCACCACACACACACAGGCTCTCAGCATGACTGGGAGGCTTGAGGGTTCCTTATTAAAGGATATCTGTATCCAACCAGTAGAAGACCACAGAGCTTACCCAGAAGGAAGATTTTAGTGACCACGTATGGAAAAAATACAAATTTTACAGAGATATGTAAGAAAAATCACTAAATAAGCAACTATCACCAAAAATGTTAACAGTAACAATTAGCATCATCAACAAACCCAGATAGAGGAGCCCTGATTATGTTCTTTAAAATATCTAGGTGTCAACAAAGAATTGAAAGACGTACACAAAGACAAAAAATGTAGTCAGTAGGAACCTAGACCTTTGATTTACTAGATTTCATATCAACTATTTTAAATATATGCAAAGAACTAAAGAAAACTCCTTTAAAGCACTAAGGGAAAATTATAGAATATTATCTCACTAAAACAGTTGTTCAGTAATATACGTAAACTATTTTAAAGAGAACTAATGGAAACCTTAGACTTCTAATGTAAATTAACTAAAATGCAAAATTTACTAGAGAGGGACAAAAACATTTTTACTCTGGTAGAAAAAGATATTACATATATGCAGATAGATCAGTGGAGATAAAGCCTGAGAAGCAGAAAAAAAGAGTGGGGGTGGTAAATGAACAATATACAGATACCAAAGGATGCCACTAAGTGCTTACTGGTAATCCCACACAAGAAAGAAAGAATAATCCAAAAGAATATTTGAAGAAATAATGGTTGAAAACTTTCTAAATTTGATTTAAAAATTATGTCTGCACATCCAAGAAGCTCAACAAACTCCATGCAGAAAGAAGTCATCGTGACCGACACTGGATGCCTCAGAGTCAAACTGATAAAGCATGTTATCTGCATGTGCTGAATGCCCAAATGACACCCTGCGGCCTGTACAACTAATATGCAGTAATAAAAAGAAAAAGACAAATAAAGAGGATATTGAAGATAGAATAAATAATTGCAAGCTTTTCACATATATTTGTTACATTTTTTGATTCTGGAACACAATACCTGACACTTCCATATTAAAGGAGAAAAAGTTTATTTTGCCTCACAATGCATAGAATTTCAGTTCATATTTAGTGGGCTCCAAAGCAGACCAGCACAGGGGAAGGGCATGGCTGAGAAGCACAGACTCCTGAAAGGACAGACAGTGAAGGGAAGAGCCACAGAGAGGTATAAAACCTTCCAGTACGCGACCACAGTAACCCTCCTTTTCTGACCAGGCCCTACCTCCTAACAGCAAGTGAGCATCCATATCTATGATCCAATCATGTTCTAAAGCCCCACCTCTGAGCTCATGAGGCTTTGAGGGGACATGCAGATGTAAACCATAACACCTCATTATGATGGAAACTTTGCTTTCTATCAGAATCTGTGTAGCAGAGCCAGAAATTCAAAGTGCTAAAAGAAAAAGAATATCAGCTAATATTTCTATATCTCCCAAAAATAGCTTCAAAAAAGGAGAAATTACAACTCATCCCTCTTTTTAAAAGTGGAGAAATTAAAACAGACAAACAAATTGGAGAAATTATTGCTAGTAGATTTGTCTTAATACTTCAGGCTAAAAGGGTACTAGACATTAATACTAATCCCAATGACAACAATAATGAGGGTGACTATGTAAATAAATATAAAGTTATATGAAACTGTTTGTTATCATGTCTTTGACAGGAAAATTGTGTAAACCAAACATAATGCAAATTAAGGGAAAACAAACATAAAACATGGGCAATAGCAAAGTGTTAAACACAAGTCATAATTTATCAGTAAATGTAAAACATACCAATTAAAGATACGGATAGGAGATTCTATTAAAAATTAATCTCAGGGCCGGGAATTTAGCTCAGTGGTGCTGCTGACTGCCTTGCAAGTGCAAGGTCCTGAGTTACCCAGTACCAAAAAAAAAAATTAATCTCACTACACGCTATCTATAAGATCTATAAGTAGTATATTTCAAAGTAAATGATACAAGTAGGTTAAAATTGAAAGGGCAGAATACATGCCACTTAAGTAGTACCCAGAAAGCAGCTAGTGAGGCTGTGTTAGTATCAGACAAATTAATGTTTAAAACAAAAATCATTACTAGGTAAAATGTCACTTTGAACTGAGAAAGGAACAACCCATCATGAGAACAGTAATTATAAACATATATGCATGTAATTATACAGCTCCAAAATGTGAGAAGTAAAAACCTACAGAAGTGAACTAGAAAGAAGTTCCAAATCATTCCCCAAATTACCTCTTCCACTGTTTAAAAAATATTTTATTATATATGCTAATTTGTTCCATTTATACTACTAGTTTCTTAGTTAATTGAAAAGAAATTTTTGTGCTATTATCTTTTTCTTCTTTTTAAGAGAGAGGTTTTTTTGTCTATGTCTTGTACTCTGAGTAACTACTTTTAAGATTATGATACTCAGTATATTAACTATTGGTATTCTCTTACTATTTTGTTAAAATTTTTGTTTTATCTTTTCATAAAATAAAAAAAATAATGGCTAGGACAAGTAGGTTGAAGGTCTGTAAGCTAAGAGAAGACTTTTACATTATAAATCAACCATACTTGGCAGAAGTCTATAATACAGTCTCTCTCTCTATTTTGTATGTTTAGTTTTGTTTGAGATGAGTCTAGCTATGTAGTTGAGACTGGCCTTAGATTCACTATGTAGCCTAGGCTGGCCTGGAATTCACAACAGTGCTCTTGCCTCAGCCTCCTAAGTGCTGGAGTTACAGGCACGCACCACAGTATTTACTGGGGACCCTGGCCAGAGGTATGCATAAGATGGATATACAGAGGTGAGGGACTTTTGGAGACACAGGCCCCACAACTCCTGAAATGCATGGTTAGAGATCAGAAGGTAGCCTACAAGGCCACAAGTACAAAAAGAATTAAAATATGTTGTCTTAATGAACGCTCTGGTCCTCTCCTCCCCATATTCCAATCTATTGCTCAGATTTGTCCTTTATCCTTCCTTCCTGGTTCTATCAATAAGAACCTATGGAAGAATCAGTTCAGGGCTGTATTTATGAGACTTTCTCTTACAGAGGGATCTTGGTGAAGGGAAGTCCCTCTGGGCTTTCTTGGAATTTGACTTGAATGTTGACTCTGTCACTTGGTACCATGCCATGGTTGTGAACTATGACAATTAGCCATGTTTTTTTAAAAATCATACCTTATAAAGACACTTAAGAAAGAAGACTTCCAGAACTGCTTCAGAAAGTGGCAAAAATCATGGGATAAGTGTGTTAGAAGTGAGGGGGAGTATTCTGAGGGGACTAAATGACAATGTGTCTTATTGTAATACATTTTTATATGAATATTTGCCATCGATTTTGACTACACCTTGTACATTCGATTCCTATCTAGATCCTGGGAGCCTTTTTGCAGAAATTGACGAGCTAATTCTTTTTTATTTTTATTCTTTTATTGGTACATTTTAGGTATACAATACGTTTACATTTACCATTGGGTGCCTGTACCTGTACATGATGTATCTTAGCTCTTATTTTCTTCCCCATTGCCTGTGCACCCTTCACCCCCTCCAACCCTCCCCATTTACATAAATTTCATTTCCATTTTTTTTTCTTTTCTCATAATTTTTCTTTCCCCTTTTTCCCTTTCCCCTTCCCCTCCTACCACCCCTACACCTTTGGATCTTTTCCTATTTCAAATTATGAATTATTCATTTTAATCCTTATTTACACTTTAGTTTCTCACACTAGAGAAACTATTCGGTATTTACATGTGTGTCCTATTTATTTCACTTAACAATATGACCTCAATATGCACCCATTTAGCTATGAATGTCTCTAGTTTCTCATTCTTTATGGCTGAGTAGTACTCAATTTTATTAAAAAACCACATCTTCTTTATCCAGTTTCCAGTTGATGGGCACTTGGGCTGTTTCCAAGCTTTAGCTATTACAAACTGTGCCACTATAAACATGGGTGCACATATATCGCTGTGGTATGAGTCTTTTAATTCTTTGGGGAAGATACCCAGCAGGGGAATAGCTAGGTCAAATGGGACCTCCATACTGATTTCCACAGTGGTTGCACCAGTCTGCATTCCCACCAATGGAGAAGCGTTCCTTTCTCTCCACACCCCCACCAGCATTTGTTATTGGTTGATTTCTTGATAGCAGCCATTCTTTCTGGGGTGAAGTGGAATCTCAGTGTTGTTTTCATCTGCATCTCTCGAATGACTAGTAATGGTGAATGTTTTTTCATACATTTATTTGCTGCTTTTACTTCTTTGAGAATTGTCTGTTCATTTCAGATGCCCATTTTTGAATTGGGTCTTTGAATTTGGGGGGTCTGATTTTTTTCAATTCCTTATATATTCTAGATAGTAGACCTTTGTCTGAGGTACAGCTGATAAAAATTTTTTTCCCCGTTGTAGGTTGTCTCTTAGCTCTGTTGGTGGTTTCTCTTGCGGTGCAGAAACTTTTTTTTTTTTTTTTTTTTGCAGAAGCTTTTTAATACGATGAGATCCCAGTTGTTGATTCTTTGTGCTAGTTCCTGTGGTATTGAGGTTTTGTTCATAAAGTCTTTTCCTGTGCCAATGTCTTCAAGAGTTCTACCTAACTTATCTTCCATTAATTTTAGACAAGCTAATTCTTTCATTCATAAAGAAATGAAAGAAAGCCAGAATGGCCAAAGCAATCTTGAAAAGAAAGAACAAAGAATGAGTAACTGTGTTTTCAAAATTCAAAACATACTAAAAAGCTACAGAGAAATCACCATGTTTATTGATATAAAGATAGACATTTAGACCAACTTGGAGTTCAGAAATGAGCTCTTACTTTTATGGCCAATTGATCAACAACAAATTTTAGGAGGGAAGATTGTGTTTGGAACAAACACAAAGATATATTTGTTAGTGAAAATGAAGAATGATCTCAGTAGCCACAAACACTATCTAAAAACTCTATTATTGATATGAGGATGGAAAACAAATTCAAAAATCCAGTTGTAAAAAGATGTGTGTTTGCATGGCATATGCCAAATTATTGCTGTCCAAATAGCTTTTAAAAGACTTCTATTAGAACAGTTTTTGAAGAAAGAATAAATCAGATATTTATAAGAGACTCTCAATTTCACAAAAAAAGGCAAATGCCATACTGTGAGTTTTCAAATTCTATTTGTACCCTGACTGG